GTTCCGTGGATTCGTTGTCCCTGGACTCAGGAAGTGCCTTACCAGTAAAAGACTGCTTTCGAAAGTTCTTTTGATACTGGACAATGTCCCTAGTTAACCAGAACCCCATGAGTTCAACACTGAAGGTATCAAAGTGTTCTACTTGCCCCCAAACACAATGTCTAATTCAGTCTCCAAATCAGGAGCCATGAAAATTTTTAAGGCCATTACATGCAGTATTCTCTACAGCAAAGATGATCAATACAATGGTAGAGAACTCCAACAGAAAGAATATCATGAAAGTCTGGAAGGATTACACCACTGAAGATGCCATTGTTGTAGAAAAACCAGTGAAAGCCATGAAGCCCAAAACAATAAATTCCTGCCAGAGAAAACTATGTCCAGATGTTTTGCATGACTTCACAGGATTTACACCAGAGCCAATCAAGGAAATAACAAAAGAGACCATGGACAAGTCAAGAATGGTGGGGATTGAAGGGTTTCAACATATGAATCTTAGAGAAATTCAAGAGTAAGTAGATACCACACCAAAGGAATTAACAGGATATGAGACAACTTGATGGGGATGAATGCTTCTGAAGCAGGAGCAGACGATGAGAAACAAAATGGAGAAGCAGTGCCATAAAACAAATTGACATTGGACAATTTGGCAGAAAAGTTCTGATTACTCAAGACTGCTTTTGACTTATTTTATGACATAGATCCTTCTATGATATAGGCACTGAAGCTAAAGCAAAGGGTAGAAGAAGGATTGGTGCCATACAGAAACCTTTTTAGGGGATTGAAAAAGCACAACAGTCAAACAGAAATTGCAATGTCCTTCCATAAAGTCATATCAAGTGTGTCTGCCCTTCTTGCCTCCCCTTCCACCTCCTCTCTCCTTAAGACAGCAAGACCAGCCCCCCTCCTGCCTTCTCCTCCTTGGCCTACTCAACATGAAGATGAAAACGATGAAGAACTTTTTGATGATCCACTTCCACTTAATAAACTGGAAATATATTTTCTCTTGCTTATGATTTTCTTAGCAACATTTCCTTTTCTCCAGCTGACTTTATTAAGAATACAGTACATAATACATATAATATAGAAAATAAAAATTAACTAACTACTCATGAGGCATCCGGTGGACAGCAGGCTGTTAGTTTAAGTGCGTGAGAAGTCAAAAGTTATACATGAATTTTTGACAGGCAGCACCCCTAACAATCTTGCACTGTTCAAAGGTCAAGTGTACTACATTTACTCATACATTTATACATTGCATTACTTCATTAAAATACTGTTCAAGTATCTCTTGCTTCTAAAAACTTCAAATTCAAGGAATTAATTCTAATTAAGTGTTCTAAGAATTTTGATTAGTTTTGCTTCAATTACTGCCAACAACAATTTTCTAGTTCCCATTATAGTTAAGTGTAGCTAGATTCTGGTAAATACACAATACTTGACAACTGGTACTCTGCCAACATCAACATATAGTCTGCATCTGAAAATAACAGTCCAAGAGGAGGGTACAAGGCAAACAAATCGTCGATCTAGGAATGAAAGGTCAACCCACACGTAATTCTGAATTGACTGATGCTTTTAGAGCAGTTACTGACGAATAAGTACCTTTTTAAAAATGGGCTGCTATGGGTTGAGCCTGAGCAAGTCAGCTACATTACAGAAGAACATTACTAACTTAGAAAGACAAGTTTGAGAACAACTTTTTCCCAAGTGAGAGACTTTTGGCTTCTTTATTTTAAGGTGAGTACGCCTATGGATGGGGCCAAATACATATTCTTATTGGATAAAAGTTTTTAAAAAGGGGCATTTTATCACCTCTATTCTTCCCTCTAATATAAACAGATGTAGAAACCAAGGCCCAAACAATGTGAATCTATTTGTCTATCTAATATTGATTTCCTCTTCATTTCCTTTATTGAGCTTCCAGTTCTCTTTGGAGTAGTGCACTGTCACTCTGCCTGCAGCTAAGGATGCCTCGTAACATTTGGCAAAGAAGCAGCAGCAGAGGCTGAATGGACAGGACTTCAAGAGTATCTGGGATAGAACTTTTGTCCTGCTTCTTTCCCCTTTCTTCCTGCCTAGAATAGAAAGGCATGATAAATGAGGACCCACCTTTGTGAGCATGTAAACAAAAAGTCACTTTCTAAGGAAAAAAGCAGAGTCAGTTCCTTAAAAGTCTCATGAAGCCACTGAACTACTCCTTTAAACACTCTTGTTAGTTGAGAAGAACTTCTTACTTGTTGAACCACTGTAATCAGATTTACATTGTGTATAGCTAAATGCAATCCTAATCGATATAGAGAGGCAATGAGAGACAGTGTCAAAAGAATAAGAGGGTTTCAAAGACCCTCTGTACTTAATTTTATATGCCTTTTTTTTAAATTTAAAAAGTCAATATAATTCCTGTTTTATATTACTTTCAGCATTATTTCAGGCTGAAAGAATTCATGTCAATGCACTTCATAAACTGTGAAAATACTAAATAACTGCAAGTTACTAATAAGTAGTAGTTCTTGAACTAGGAGCTCCTAAGTTCATTTTCTCATATAAAAAAAAAAAATTAACAGTGTCTTTCCTTGTCATGCAGAGTTACTGAAAGGTTTCGATGAGATAACATTGAGTATACTGCAAACTGTTAAACACTATACAAATGTCAGAGATTATGGAGCTATTATTTTGAAAACGATGAGTAACGCATAAAATTTCTAGGATTGATTTGATCACTAATTTAGCTGGATGATCTTGAGGAATGTACATTTCTGAGTCTCATTTCCTCATCTACAAGTGGGAGTACTAATTTAAGTACCTGCGCCCCTCTCTCACAGGCTCCAAGGCTATATTAAGTGTAGCAATATTACTAAATTGTATCTAATCTCCACTTTTCCTATTTTCCCTGAGTGACAGAATCTAAATTTTCATTTGGATGGCAACTGAAAATAAAGACTGCATTTCTTAACCTCCCTGGCAACTGGGTTCTAGCTAGGTGTTGACCAAGAGGATATGAGCTGAAGTGATGTGTGCAACTTACAGGTCAATGCCTTAGTGGGAAATGGTCTCCAAATCCCCCTTTTTGCCCTCTCCACTGATGAAATATGAATGAAATAGCGAACCATCCTCTGTCAGGTAGAGGAAAGCAACAGGTATTAGGACAGCAAAGCAACAAAAGGACTGCATGCCTGAAGTCAGGGAACTACCATGGCATCCCTAGACTACTAACATGTTGCCTGTCAGAGAACAGAGAAACAAACTATTTGTTCAGCCTCCTATATTTTAGTGTACATTAACAGCAGCCTAAATTAGCAGCCTAACCTGTATCCTAACTAATTCAACGAGGATTAAAGAAAATATTTGAAAGTAATCCATAAACCATAAAGTAATTATATAATTTTAAGGTACACTGTCACAGCAAAGGCATAAATCTTTTGTAGCTTATCAAACTTTCAACTTTAAAAACTATTTGAATTATGAAATGAAGACAAAAGGTCAGATAGCACAAAGTAGATTTGACTTTGAAATACAAAGCCAATACTCAAACAGATGTTTAGCCTATCTAAGAGCAGCAGGAATTTGGAATTCACAGTTATTTGGCAAAGCAGATACATAACTTTAGGGTAATCAAAAATTAACTTTGTGTCTCCCCACCCAGCAGACAGTCTTTTATGCATTAGCCACACCCCTGAAACACAATGGGCATAGTTGGAGTAAATGACAGAGCTGTATGGGATGCCTGCTGTATTAGTTTCTTAAGGCTGTCATAAAAAAATTATAAGGAGAACATCCCTAATCCAAAAATTCAAAATCTGAAATGCTCTAAAATCTAAACATTTTTGGAGTGCCAACATGACACCACAAGTGAAAATTTCCACATCTGACCCTTTGGGATGGCTCTGTCAAAACTGTTTTATGCAAAAAATTATTTAAAATACTGTATAAAATTACTTTCAGACTATGTGTATAAGCTGAATGAATTTCACGTTTAGACTTAGGTGCCATCTCCATGACATCTCATTTATATACATGCAAATATTTTAAAATACAAAAAACACTTGAAATCTGAAACACTTCTGGTCCCAAACATTTCAGACAAGGGATACTTAATCTGTACCACAAACCTGGTGGCTTATGAACAAAATACATTTATTTTCTTACAATTCTGAAGGTCAGAAGTCTAAAATCAAGGTGTTGGCAGGGCTGGTTCCTTCTGGAGGCTCTGAGAAAGAATCACTTCCATGCCTCTCTCCTAGCTTCTGGTGGGTGCCAGCAATCCTTAGCTTATTAAAGGTATCACTCTAAACTCTGCCTCCACACATCTATCATCTTATCCCACATGTGTCTATGTCTGTTTCTTATAAAAAAAAACAAAAACAAAAAACTCTCATTGGCTGAAGGGCCTACTCTAATCCAGTATGACCTTATCTCAATATTTTCCTTAACTTAATGGGCTGTTACGGGTTGAACTGTGACCCCTAAAAGATATGTTAAAATCCTAATCCCTAGCACTTCAAAATCTGATCTTATTTGGAAATAGGGTCATTATAGATGTTCTTGGTTAAGATGAGGTCATACTGGAGTAGAGAGGGCCCTTAATCCAATATGACTGGCATCCTTATAAGAAGAGAAGCAAAGACACAGAGACAGACACACAGAGAGAAGGCCATAGGATGATAAAGGCAGAAACTAGAGCAATATATTTACAAGCCAAGGAACACCATGGATTGCTGGCAAACAACTATAAACTAAGAAAAAAACATGGAAGGATCACTCCTTACAGGTTTCAGAGAGAACACGGCTCTGCCAACACCTTGATATTAGACTTCTATTCCCCAGAACTGTGAGAGACTATATTTCTGTTGTATAAGAAACAGAGTTTGTGGGTTCTTGTTACAGCAGCCCTAGGAAACTAATAGATGGGTGGATACAAATTTGGGTATATGAGGGTAAGCATTATCGACAAATGGTTCAATAATATTAACTCTTCAAAGCTGCAGCATATTTCATACCTGTATATTCAGAAAATGGCTTATGTATAACTCCCAGAACAGGTTTACCATTTACAGCCACACACACCATAGTAGTGACATACTTTCGAAGATCCTCTATGAGGAAAAAAAAACAAAACACAATTGTCAAAGTAATGTGCATAAATTCAGGATACAATGTTACATCTTATTTCATAAAAAATTTATGTACATTAAATGCCTTTCCAAGACAACAATTCCCTCAAGAAGAGTCTAAGGATGATAGCCAGTTTAAGGGAACAGTTAAGATTTCTGCTCCCACAGGCAGATTACCTGGGCTACTCTCCCAGTCCACCATTTTATTTACTGAATGTCTTTGGGAAAATTTTTTAAACTCAGTTTCCTCATCTGTATAATGCAGATAATAATTTAGCACTCATCTTTAGATATAAATAACTTAATTTCAGAAAATTTAAAAATCAAGTTAAGCACTTAAAACAAGAGCTGTACTCACCAATATTAGCCTAGTATATAATCAGGCCAATCTCAGTTTAGGACAACTTTTTTTGCAAACGATGTCCTCAATATTCCATATTTCTATTATCTGCTACAGCAAAGAACTGTTTTTCTTAATTCCAGTTACTAGTAGACATATACACCTAGTGTCTTCTGCCTATTTTACAAATAGTCATCTATTGATTGTCTTACTATGGTTCAAGTTCAGTGCAAAACTACTGAAAAATAAAGGTAAAAAAGTAGAAGCCCTCACGTTCAGGGAATTCACCATCCAGCAGGGCAAATAGTAAACAACTAACTTTAAGATATATACAAGATAAGAGAGAAAAAGCAGAAATTAGATATCTCTGGGTAAGAAGACCTGAGAGAGGAACCACAAAAATACAATCTGAGTTAAAACTAGGTACCAAAAGGATTAGGGGGCAGTGGTTCTGTTATGCAACTTACTTGCTTTCTGTGTACCTAGAATTTACTATTTTGAATTCTAAGGTCAACCTAAATTCCCAATATACCAAGTAAATATTGCATTCTGATTAAACAAATTTCTTCAATTATAGTTGTCCAATAGAAACCATTTTGCTGCAGTTAAAAAAAAAGTTTCTTCATCAAAGAATCAGTAAGTCATTGATTTTTAGTAAGCCACTATTACATACAAGAGGTGTGCCGTAATTATTATTTTGGGACTAAAAACAAATTGAGAATCACTAATCTAGTCCAAATATAATGCTGCAGTAGTCCAGTTTTCTGTGTTAAAATCTAACTGGAAAAGTTCTGTTGGATTTGCAAACTATCTACTACCATTATCACCTGTCTTGGTTCTAGCTCTCTATTATAACACAACAGTCAAAAGTTCAAGATCAATTTTTAAATTACCTGTATATTCCTGTGTAGCATCAAGTGGGTCAATCCAAACAGTAACACTTTCTGCTGATACCTCTTTAGGAGCAGTTACTTCCTTCAGGATATCCTCAGGAATCTTATGATCCCAGAAGATAACTTCCTGATCAGTTGTATCCACGTGTTCCTCAGTATTTATCTGCATTAAAGTAGTTGACAATTTAAAAAAATAAGAAAAAAGTACTACTTGATAAAACACAAGATAAAACATTTCAGACAAAAATCACACAAACTGTGAATCAGTAAATATCTACTTTTGTTTATCTTTTGATGCCACGCTGCAAAATGAAAATCATATTATAAATATAATTCCAGTGACATTAGGTCTTCAAATACTTTTCAATCTAATATTCAAGCTTAGTTTGGTGGCTAAGCAAGACAGAGAGTTCAAATATAAAGAGATATAAAGAAACTAAGTATCAAAGTAACAAGCTAGGTAAAGCTTAATTATGAAAAATAATTCTATAGTGTGAAAATAGACAATATTCCCTGGAATACCAAACACAAGCAAGTAGAGTTAGAAATCAGAATTAACTATAGTTAGAAGGAAAACAATGACAATGAACTCACAAAGCAATGTGCCTTAAAAATGGGGAATTATGAATGCTAAGAAATAAAATATCCTAGAAAAGTGATCGTCTAAAATATACCTTTCACCAATAAGGAAAAGAAGGAAACCTGGAAGCAATGAAATAGATAAAGAGCTAGTATACTCTAAAATCTAAATAAAATGAAAATAAGCAATCAAAAGGGATACACTAAAGATCAATCTTCTTTTCACTATACCAAAGATGTGTCACCAAGTAGGGAGGTAAAATCAAATTCTGTCCCTTTTATTTTTCCCTAGGCAACAAAATTAAAACATAAAATTAACCCGACTTACCAAACAGATGCATAATGGTGTGGGATGAGGAGAGAAAAAACTATATGTGTTTGTGTAGTATTTTATATAGCAAATATTCTATTCATTCACAAATACATTACACTCCTTTAAGTTAACATTTCTCAAACTTTGTACTACTGACAGTATGGACAGAATCATTCTTTGCTGTGGGGCTGTCCTGTATGTTTTAGGATAATCTGACAGCATCCCTGGCTAGATGCCACTAGAACCCACTAGATGCCAGCAGTACCACTCTCAGCTGCGAAAAACAAAAGTGTCTACAGATGCTGCCAAATATGCCCCCGTCCCATCTTGTGTGGAGAACGCTACTTTAAATAGTGAATTTCTTAATGAATATGTAAAATATAGTCTGGTTTGTAAAATAATGTTTTAAAAATAATGCTTTAGAACTGCATTTAATTTGTCAATTTGTATATAGCAATGGACCAAATCTAAGAATTGATTATACTTTAAGAACTAAGTTAACAACAAACTGTCAACTTAATTGGAATACAGATTCATCACAAGGCTTTCTCTATTAGATCATAACACCACACACACACAAACACACACACACACACACACACACACACACACACACACACACACACACACAGACGCAAATGTCATCAAAGTGTGAATTTCAGTTAGGGGCTGACACCCTAAGCAAGACCTGTGCTTTCTAACAAGCTCCCTTTCCAGAGCAGGTCATGTTTATACTGCACGTGATATCTGCCTACATCCATGACAATGCCAGAGTGATGACAGCACCAACAACACATGAGTAAAAAAATCACAGACAGATTAAAAACACCACAATTATCAGCAATCTCTGGAAGGTACCACGAAACATCTTAAATTGTTATAGAAGAGGTTAAAAATAGTAACATTCCAGAAACATTAAACTCCTTAAATCGTAAAATATTTCTTAGTACAGAACACAGTAAATATCCAATTCATCCACTCACTTATGCCTTTATTAATTCAGCAAATGTTTTTCACTGCTTACCATATGCTGAACAGTTCCAGGGGCTAAAGACAGAACTAACTAATCAATGTGAGACAAAAATTACTGCCCCGTGAAACGCAAGATTCTAGTGTAAACAAAAAACAAGATCCACTGCAAAAATGGAGCATGCTCAGTAGTGGTGACGAGAAGATAAAGAACGGAAAGGACAAGGACGACCGTGTTGCTGCAGAGCCGGGGAAGGACCGCTCTGCGACAAAGGGTGGCGAACGCGGCTAGGAAAGGCGGCTGGGCTACAATCCGTAAGAGCCCCAAACTGGAAACGACCTGACTCCATCAACTGATGAAGGCCGAGCATATCTGCGATCTCCATGCAACGGCAGGTTATTCAGCCATCAATAGGAATGAAGGACGATTCCTGCTAGAGCATGGATGAACCTCCCTGCTTTTTGAAAGGGCAAGGCGCAAGGACCAAAATCTGTATGATTCCATTAATGCAAATGGTCTAGAATAGGTCAATCTATAGAATCAAATCGTCGCCTAGTGGTTGCCTGGGGTAGAGGGTAGAAACAAGAATGAATAGTAAATAGAGACAGGGACAGTATTAGGGTAATGAAATTGTTCCAAAAGTGGTTAATGATGATAATTGCACAATTGAGCAATGTGACTAAAAAATATTACATTGCATACTTGAAATAGGCAAACAATATGAGATATAAACTATGCTACAATAAAATTGTTTAAATAAGAAGATAAGGCAGCTAGTGAAGCCCTCACTGAAGAGGTGGTATTTGAGTGAAAATCTAAAGGAAGTGAGCCTTGCAGGCATCTTGAAGTACAATGAATAACAGACCAATGAATAGCAAATGCAAAAACCCCAAGGTGGGAGTATGGCTGGTGTGCTCAGAGGACAGCAAGGAGTCTAGGCGTTAGAGCAGAGTGATCCAAGGAGAAAGACACTAAGGATGAGTTCAAAGAGTAATGGAAGCCAGATGGTGAAGGACCTGCAGGCTACAACACTGAGCCAGTGGTCCTCGTAACAATGTGCTGAGGGTCCTAGCCATTGCAGTAAGCTAAGGGGTAGTGTGGGTGGAAGAGAGAGGCATGTGGTAAGGTACAGAAACTGGAAAAAACAAACATGCAGCTGATTACTGAGCAGAGAAAATCCAAAAGAACTTGCAAATAAATGCAACTCCGACCTAAATTCCACAGGTCCCCCACCCCACCTGCCTTCTTGGAAACTGGACAAGTCATTTCTGAAATTTACAGGGTAGAACAAAAAGCCAGGAAGAGGCACAACATTTTGGAGATGGGCAAGAAAAGGAGTATCACGATGTGGTGACTTTCCCTACCAAATACCAAGACTTATTTTAATGCCAGAATAATTAAGACAGTGTGGCACTGGTGAAATATTTTGGCTTCACAGACCATACTCTTAACAATGCTAGACAGCCTCAGATGAAGGAAGGTAACAGTAACACCATGCAAAAAGGAATAAACTTGTAAAGAAAAAAAAAAGTGACTCTCAGAAAACAAAGAATAGTTCATGGGTCAAGACCGTTGTAGTTTACAAAAATAGTAGTGCCAAGACTGAGTGGCAACCACTAAGCTTCACTGATTTTTGCTCAGAGTTCAAGACATCTTCTTCATATATTCTCAATTGAGCATGAGCAAATACTTTATAGAACAGTATTTGAAAAGATCTTCACTGAGAATCAGGTCAGAAAGAAACAGAATAGGAGAACAAGAAAATCAACATAAGTACCCAAACTGCCTTTGCATAACCTGCTACTTATAACCTGTCACAACCACTATATGCTGACAAATTTAATAAATCTACTCTCCATAATTATAAACAGCCTTACAAACAGTTGCTAACACGAGGAAGTCTTCCTAAATCCTTTTCCACATTCTACACAATTAAGTAAGTCCTGGAAATTTTACCACCAGATTCTAAGTATGTGTCATCACATCTACCAAGAAAATCCTACTTTAAGCTACCATCTATCTCTCACTTGGATTCCTCCAACTGCCTTCAACTGTTCTTGGTTCCTGTAGTTAATTTATTCATCCATTCAACATCAAGTAAATGGTTATATACTCTATAAACTGTTTTGGACACTGGGTACAATAATGAACAAAACAGACAAAATCGCTGCTTTCTCACAGGTCCCCTTCTTAATCCAGCATTCTCCCTAAATCTGATCACACCACCTCAGTTTAAACCTTCCAGTGGTTTCTCATGATGCAGAGACAAAATCCAGACTCCTTATCATCATCTACGAGGTAAGTGCTAGATGAACTGACCTCAGCAACTACCATCCAGTAATCTCTATCTGCACCCTTATTTACTGTACTCCCTACTTACTGGTGTTCTTACGGTCCCTTGGCCTTAGGGCCTGGGTGCTTGCTGTACTCTTCTCAGTTCACATACACTTTCCTCAGATCGCTGCAAGATAGTCTGCTTCTTATCATTCACGTCTTCGTTCAAACGACACCGCCACAGAGTGGCTTTCCCTGACCACTACTGACAAAGCAGGACTCCCAGACATTCGGCCCACATCACCCTATTTTTATTTCTTCAAAGTCCTTATCCTGAAATTATCTTCTGCATTTATATGTTTACCTATTTTGGCCAGCTAGAACATAAGTTTTGAGTGCAAGGACACAATTTTCTTCATTAGTGTAGTTCCATCTCCACTGTCTAAACCAAAGTAGGTACTAAGCCCCGGCAGTTTTTCACTTCTTCCCCATAATCCTCTTCCATTCAACCTACTCTTTCTCACCCAACCTTACTGCCCATCTGTCACAGACCTCAACATGGAATTGAAGCCCAATAAATCAATTCCAAGTGCACAAAAAGCCCATACCTACAAACAACAGCCCTGGCCAACCCCTCCCTGCTCCCTCCACCTGGCCAACCACTCCCAAAGAAGCCCATTATGGTGGGAATTTAAAAATCCAGCTTTTAGAGAACCGATGATTTTTAGCAGGAAAAGCATAACCTTCTAGAGATCAGAAAACAGTAAGCTGACCTTAGGCTATGCCCATACATAAATAGCTCATCTTGCAGTTTACACCTACAACTGGCAACTATCTAAACATTCTCATATCCTTTCTTTAGGTTAACTCGTCTCCCGTGCAGGCAATTCTAGAGGTCACAATGTCCAGTTATCTTTTCTTTCCTGAACATATAAGAAACTATATTTTCCATCTTCCTTGAAGTCAGAGGCACGTAACAGAAGTTCTGGCCAGTGGAATATGCACAAAAAAGTGAATGCACACCACTTCCTGG